CGTAGTGAGTTGGAGCAAGGAGCTTGACATTTACCTCTGTATCTGGCATTGGTGAGACTGATCTTCGAGCACTGCGTACAGCACTGTTGTTCACATGTCAAAAAGGATGAATGGGAGGTGGTGCAGAAGAGAGTCACAAAAATGATTCAAGGGCTGGAGAAAATGCCTTTTGAACAGCTCAATCTGTTTTCTTTGTCAGAAAAAAATAGTGAGCGGCGACGTAAGTACCTTCATGGGGGAGGAAAATACTGGGTACTAAATCTAGTGGGGAAAGGCATAACAACCACCAAAGGTTAGGCTGATCCAGACACATTCAAATTACTCGCAGATTTTTTTTTTTAAACAGTGAGGGTGATGCCCCATTGGAATAAACTACCAAGGGACTCTTTGCATCTTCAAATCAAAGCATATTCCTTTCTAGATGATATGCTTTAGCCAAACCCAAGTTATTGGGCTTAGTAGCGGAGTAACAGGATGAAATTTAATGGCTGTGCTTCACAGGAGGTCAAGCTAGCTGATCTAATGGTACCTTCTGGTCTTAAACTTATAAATCTTGTAACACCGTGAAAGGTAAAGTTGAGACTTACCCACCATATGGTGAACTGACCAAAAAGTTGCGTCATTAGAATTCAAATGGTGATGGGCAAAAAGTAATCAGTTATCTCGGGGATGTGCATGGTTGAAACGAAGAAGGTTGTTGAACACTAATGTGAAGAAACTGTCTTTGACGCTATGTAACATAAGCTATAGGCCTGAATCAGATGTGTGAAAGCTCAAGCTGAACTTCTAAACAGATGTGTGAAAGCTCAAGCTGAACTTTTCCAAACTTCATAGTGTTCAGATCTATGTATAAATTCAAGCTCTGAATACCAATCTGAACAAGGAGCTGGTGTTTGAGTCCATCTTTACTTAAAATGCACATGGTCTGAAAGTGGTAGATGCCAGAGAAGTAAATTTAAAATAAACCCCTTAGGAGAATCCTGATTGGCTGGGTTGGTGGTTCCTAATAAAAGGCATGAGGTGGAGGGAATATGAGGGTATAAAATGTTAGACCTCTCGCTCTTAAATGCTATGCTCACTTGTCATAAAGATGGCGAGACCATAAAGAATATTATCTGTACATATACAGACACTTTATACCATTTCTTTAAGCTATGTTTTGTTCTTCTGAATAAAACCAATATCTGAAATATGTTAACTGCATGGTCTCAATTCTACTCTTTAGGTACCTTTCAAAGGTACCATAGTGCATTCATTACAAATGATCGGTTACTTTTCATTTGCTTGGACAAACAGGAGAGTATTTGACTTACAGTCCACCCTAGCTCCTCTTGTTTTAAGTTTCAGCGTAGCTAGAAACGGCACAGCTCTAGTATATAGCTGGGTAGCCAATGGGGGTTCAGACAGTGATATGGGCATGAATAGACATTAAGTTCAGACTACAGGGATGGAAGCCTGTGGTAATCCAGAAACATTCATTTGACTTGCTCTTCTGAAAATGCCAGTACTCTAACCTTTGTAAACTTGGAGTAGCTTGTTTGACTAAGTGAGTGCTGTTTTTACTTGTTTGACAAAGTTCCTCCTCTATCGTGGTGGGTCCTGCACTTATTGGTGGATGTTCTTGCCTCTGAGATTCACCATGTGGGTTGGGGAACAGCCCAGAGACCTTCCCCTCTGGAAGAACCCACAGTCCAAGTCAATTGGGAGGTTTGGGGGGAACCTGGGCCCGCCCTCTACTCCAGGTTCCAGCCCAGGGCCCTGTGGACTGCAGCTGTCTATAGTGCCTCCTGTAACAGCTGCATGATAACTACAACTCCCTGGGCTACTTCCCGATGGCCTCCTCCAAACACCTTCCCTATTCTCACCACAGGCCCTTCCTCCTGGTGTCTGATAACGCTTGTGCTCCTCAGTCCTTCAGCAGCGCTCCCGCTCCGCTCCGCTCCTTGCACCCAGCTCCTCACACTCACACCACAAACTGAAGTGAGCTCCTTTTTAAAGCCCAGGTGCCCTGATTAGCCTGCCTTAATTGATTCTAGCAGCTTCTTCTTAATTGACTCCAGGTGTCCTAATTAGCCTGCCTGCCTTAACTGGTTCTAGCAGGTTCCTGATTACTCTAGTGCAGCCCCTTCTCTGGTCACTCAGGGAACAGAAAACTACTCATCCACTGACCAGTATATTTGCCCTCTACCAGACTCCTGTACCCCACTGGTCTGGGTCTGTCACACTTGCTATAGTCATCTGCTTTCCCAGCCTCTTTTGTGTTTATGGGCTTTATCTGATGATTTCAGGCAAGTGTCAAAGACATACATCTCCACCCCGATACAACACTGTCCTCAGGAGCCAAAAAATCTTACCGCGTTATAAGTAAAACTATGTTATATTGAACTTGCTTTGATCCGCCGGAGTGCGCAGCCCCGCCCCCCGCCCCGGAGCGCTGCTTTAACGCGTTATATCCGAATTTGTGTTATATCGGGTCGCGTTATATCGGGGTAGAGGTGTACACTATGTAATACAAAAAGTTATATGCTGAAGTTAATAATTAAGCTAGCTTCAAGGCCAAGGCAGTGGCAGTCTGTGTGACAGAATTATCTCAGTGAGAGAGATTTTTTTTCATAGCATTTTTGAGCTGGTTTGAAAATGGAAAATAAATTTGCAAATTTTTTTTTGCAAATATATTTTTTTCTGTTTTCCAGTATTGTCAACCCTAACATTCAAAAATCATGTGTCAGCCCCTACTTGGTGCCAAATTCTGAGATGGGCTTAAAGATTTAAAAATAAGTTCAAAAAAAGCCATTTTTAGGAATTTATTTGACTTTATGGTGCACTCAGGTCAAGTTTTCAAGATCTTCTCTGCAACTATGAGGGCTAGAAACTTTCATTTAAAACAAAAAGTAAGTTGAGCTTCTCATCTCATCACTGGTTTCAGTTAGCCTGGGCTCTAGTTAAAGGACCAAATGTCCGGGGACTTGTACACAAATCACAAGAGTCATTAACACTGGTGTTTGGAGGAAAATTTGAAAAATTTCCAGCTGGCTTGATTGGGGTTTGCCCTTTCTGGGCAATGCATTTTTGTGAACAGGGTGCAAGTGATGCTTGGATAGGACAGCAGTGTAGCCTTTGATATCTGGCAAAGATACACTGGTATGGTTAAGGAAATAGTTCACACCTGCACTGAATGTAAGGTCCACCTACTTTGAGCAGGTGAAGATGGGATTTTAATATTTCAGACTTCTATCAAAAAATGTATCAGACTAACCGACTTGCACTGATTTCTTTTTATTCACAGGTGCTAGCGAGTAGATGATGGCTGTTACATAGTAAAAAGAACGGCACACACTTTATTTAGAGGGATCATTCATTGGCAAGGCTATGGCCATTCACTTCAATTAGCAACAGTTTTCTAGCGCAGTCCCCAAAGATGTAACACCATCTTGATTTCTTAGGCACAGGCAGGGCTTCAGATAAGTCCCCCTCTTTATTTTGGATTTTGCCTGTTTCCTACAAAATGTAAACGTGTACAAAATTCACCAGTAGGCCAGTTTTAAGCCTCTTCTTCACTAATCCCTGATCTCTCTCTATTTTTTTAGACAAAATCTTGATGTTAAAAAATGTTGTTGCAAACAGTCAAAGTCTCCACTGGCCTTTCCTTTCCCCGTGGTTTTGTTACAGTCCATCGGATAGGAAATAATGTTTAGCTGCAGCATTGTTTACTGGGACTATTTAAGCCAACATTTTTCTTTTTAGGCATTTATATCATGTTTGCTACTGTAATATCTGAGCACCATATAATTCCTTAAAGAAATGCACAGGTTCTTCTTTCCCCAGCTGCAGAGATTTTTTACTGGTTTTGTTTTTGTTCGGTCATGGTTCAGAATGCTAACAGCAGCAGCAAAAATGTCCCTGTACCAAGGGGACTGGGCTAGGCAATGGAGCTGCTGATTGGCATCATAATTGTGGCTGACTCAGACAAGTATGACACAGAGGTAGTTGTGTATGTGTGTGCATCCCAGAATAAGTATTTCAAGCAGCAGCATCAGGCTCTAGTGACGTAGGAGCACCAGGGAAAAGACAGAACATTTCTTTACTCCATCAAGCTGCACCCTTGTTGAGTAACCATATAGATGTTACCATGTACATCTTCCCAACCTCCTCCCTACTATCTTGTTAACCCCTTGTAAGATCATGTCTGATATTAGCATGTGAGCTCATTAGGGAACACACATCATGGTCTTTTTACCTGTATTGTGAGGCACCCAGCAGACTTTTGAGCACTGTAAGAAATAATTATAATGATATAAAGAAGGTGAAGAGTTCCAGTGTAGATTTACTGCTCAGTGACCCAAGATTTTCCAACACCCCCACTTCTATTAAAAGGAAATTTCTGACTCAGTTTAGTGAACAGACATGGAAGCCTCCTGCCGCCACATTTTCATTGTTACCCGTAACAAAGTGCAAGTGCGCACCCACCCTAGATTTGAGCAATGTCCGTGGATATTTAGTTGATTTATGAAGTGCAGAGGTTACAAAAATCTCAGTGATAACAGGCGATTCACAGTTTCTGGTTCTAAATGTTGGTACTCCTGCTCTTTTTTTCTTTTTTTTAGCTTGTACTGTTTCAAAACCAGCAATATGCCCAAGTCTTGGACTGAAGAGCTAGCACTGATAAATAAGAGGCCTTCCATATTTAGAAAATGAAAAAGAAAGGGGAAAAATTACTGATTAGAACAGCAATGATATTTCTTTTGTATTACCATTTAATCTAAGCAGTGAATGATCAGGGAGTAGATTCTTACTGAAATCAGTGACTATTGTCTGTGATCCCAGTGTCCATCAAATAGAACGCCTAAGTGATACATGAGCATATTAAAGTAACTAATTATTTGCTAATCCAATTTAAATTCATTTCAGTTAATCATTGTGATTAGTAATTCATTAGCCAGGAAAAAATGTGAAGTGGTGAAGCAATTGCTACTTACATACCAAAGAAATGAAAAAGAAACTGCAATCAAGGAGATTTAATATGCTTGCAATCAAAGGCAAACACAAGTTAAACCTTTCTGGTACAGAGAAAAGGGTGATCTTTGTGGCATAAGAAAAAAAATCCAGAATAACAAATGTGCAGCACTTTAATGTTAGATTGACCATGATTGGAACTGTTCACAAGTAGCGTGGACAATCTAAATTGTACTTCATTGTCTAAGTCAGTATGATATAACCATTAGGATAATTTAGAAAACACATCACCAAAACTTGGGCTGCGGAAGGAAAAATGGGAGCATCTTTGGAAGGTAAAAGTGGGAGTTTGAGTGACCTCTAGTTCAATATTTTGAGACAAACTGAAAGACGTGAGGGCCATTACACATCCTTCACAGCCTGTATACACCAGTTGTAAGAATATTTACCTGAACAGATATTTACATTTTTTTAAAATATTCTTAAAAAAGTAATATTTGCTTGATCTATGACACAATGAACTTCTCTACAAGAAAACGTACAATAGGCATAATAAAATATTCAAGAAGTCATAAAAGATAACACTAGCGCAGTGGTCTGGCCTACTAAAAGACGTTTAGGATGAGTGCAATGTATGGATACAGCTTTGTTCTAGAAAGGAGTTGTGCATATTTAAAAGTACTTACAAAGTTGATCTCCTCCTTTCCTTACACGTGTATGTTTCCTCACTAGATGAGTAGAGAACCATGAGCACCAGGCATTTCTAAATGAAGGGATGTCCATGTTTTAATGATGGGATAATGTCTTCTAACCTTTATGGCTCTTAAGAGAAAATATGTAGGTTTCATCCTATCGATGTTAAAGGGCAATTTAAAGGATTTCATATCTAATGAATTCATAGGATTCATTGCCTTTTTTCCGTCTGTCCAAACAGATTTATACTAATCATTAGAGAACTAAGATGGTTGTAAAGTACTTGATGTCTATAGTCAGCCTAAAAGCTAATGCTTAAAGCAATGTTATCAGTGTTACTCTGTGTCCTTCCAACTTAAAATCCTTTTTTATGAGGAGGGTGACAAACATTTATGTTAGAAAATAGTTACTGCACCTTTAAGTATCACCGTATATATTCAACAACTTCTTTCGTATAAACTTTGGGCAGTCAAGGTCATGCTAGAGCATAGTTGTACTTTCATGTAATTCAAAAGGCCAACTGCTATGATGTAAAGATGCCGTCCCTAGAAAAGGGAGTTTGCACTAATATCAAGATTACATTTTCAAAGCAGTGTGTGGGATTTAGCTGCTCATTTCTTACTGTTTTTAATAGTACTTGTCTGGCTTGCACCACTTTGAAAAGTTACCCATAACTACACTTGTCCTGATTATTTCATGATGTTGAACACTGAAAGCTACTAAATGGAACTGGAGAAAAGCTTTTTATATGTCTATAAAAGTGCAAATGGATGTTTATTTTTATGGGAAATCAACTTAACTTTCTCACTGCTAGCTGTTGCATTCTGGGGTAATTTATATGGTTTTTACATGAATCTCATTGTTCATAACTAAATGGTAATTGAAGATAAAGAAGTGTAATATAAAAAAAAAGGCAACACAAAAATAATCTTTTCCAGAATCTTTGACGAGAGACATGTAAATTAAGACTACAATTATAATGGGTGAATGCTTTGTTAAAAATACGTTACTGAAACTGGTGGAGATGGAGTTGGATATGTAGCCATTGTTTTATGAAGAACCAAGTCACTTCAGTGTTGGTAAATTGCTAATGAGGGAAATGAATAATTTCTAGAAACGTTTCTGCCTACATTGGGAACAAGCCCGGCTATTATGCTATCTGGCAGGCAGGAAATGATTTTTCACACTATGTCCTATCTGACTTGAGTCACACGGTACTGAAGGAAGAGTGCTTTATCTCCTGATAGAATAGATTCTGCATATCTGACTACCAGTGTTTTCTGGTTTTCAAAGTCACCTTCCCATCCCCAATTTTTCCACTAAGAAGTTTCTCAAATACAATCAGACGATGTTCTTTATACACCCTGGAAGAGGTGATACTACTGCATTCCTTTTGGTATTCCAATAGCAAAAGAGAGAAAAGAAAAAAGAAAAAAAAAAAAGAAGAACTGACCGTAGATACTTCTGTCATGTTTGGGTCTGAAATTACATCAAAGAATTCTTCTAACACCATCCCTCAAAGGAAACGGATCATTTTCCATTAAATTTCTCACCTAGATGTCTGCATTTTGAAAACTGCTCTCTGTGATTTATTTTTCTTATTACAAAGGCCAGTTTTAAATGTGATTTACTGCTTACGTGTTTAGGCAATGTTAAGGGTAGTATAACCAGGGCCCTACAGTCAGAAGTACAGGTGATTTGAAGTTAGATTGGCTGAAAGAAAACTGATGACTTCAACATAATTTAGAGACTCATCAGTACTGAAACTCAGAAGCTGTTTTGTTCTACAGAATCATCAAGTTATGCAGCTTATTCAATACCTCGGTGGAGAAATGATTCTCTTTCCAGGTATACATTCTTTTCATAAGCCAAGCAGTAAATCATACTTCCAAAAAATATCCCAACACAACCCAATTTCTATTAGCAGAGCATACCTTATACTATAAAACTTGCAAGTAGACCAGTGTTGCACCATGAAGCTTATACAGTTTTTTCCCCCCGTGTAAAAATATACAATGCTACTGCCTATTTGTTGCAGTGTAAGGTCCAATCAGTACTTGTCTGCTGCAGGCTCTACTTTTGTGCCCTTTCATACTTCTCCAACCCAGACCACCGTGTTACCCCTCCTGATACCTGAAACCTCACAGTGTAATGTGTTTTGTCTCCCATTAATAACAAACAGTGAATTCTTAGCTGGTGTAATAAGATACTGTCCAAATAATCCACTGTCTTTCATAATTCTGTTGTAGCTGCTCCAGGGCCAGTCTTTGGACATGATAGGCTCCTTTAAATTCTTCAGTACATTCATTTTCCCTGTTGACAGCTCTACAAAAAGCACATCTGTTTGCAAATGTGACGTAGCATATATATAGTACTGATTGCCTTCAGTGAAAGAGGGTTGAAATGTCAGATCAGATACATGTACATTTGTTTGTAAGTCATAAATCAACTTGATTTCCCCTTGGACGGTTATTGCCTGGACTTTAATCCTGCCACTGTCTTCAGCTGCACTGACCAAATAGCGTCCATCAGGGGAAATATAGGGCGTACCCGATATGTCACTGTTAGGGCCAATCACAGAATCTGTAACACTGTCAATAATGAGCTGGGGAGATGCTATTATTGATGTATTTTTTTTACATTGGACAAAGAAGTAGCCACCCAAATGGGTATAAGCCATGCTCTGTGGTTTGCAGCCATAGTTTCTGAAGCTGATAGTCTTGATGTGGGTCACAGTTTCCAGGTCAATTTTGTGAACTGCAGATTTCGATTTGTTAAAGATGAAACCAAACCTGAAATATAAAACATGACACTGGCATCATCTCTGGAGCTGTGGCAACATGCTTGAGAGAATCCTGAAATCAGCAGAACTCGCAGACTCCAGTTGTTTTCTATTGTGCGTAATAATGTTCACTTTTCTCTATGAAACCACTAACCGCTAATTCTTCTGTTATGTGCTACAAAAAAAAACCCTTAACATGTCATTTCGATCTAGGGACATGACCCCATAAGCCATTATACATGCAAGAATTCCTGGCTCGCATGAACAGTCCCATCAACACCAGTAATGGACCATGGGAACAGTGTGCAGGATTGGGCATTTTATGTGTTGTGCTTGAGTTACAAATTCTTCTGGTGCGATATAATTCAATGTGTATTTCAGATGTTTTATAGCTCCAAATCACAACTCCTTAACTAAAACTTATTTTGGACCTAATCCTAAAGAGGGGAGAGGATGCAAAGAAAACTTCAAGGCATCTTTGTGCCTGTTGATTTTGGGCCAGTCCCTTAGCGTAAGTTAGAGCCATCTGAGAGGAGCTCTAATTTACAGGTGCTGCCATGGTCCCAGGGGACCATTATGGCAGCTGGGGCTGCTGCGGTGCATGCAGTCTGTGCCATGCCCTCACACCATCTGCTGGGAGGATGGGTGGCTTAGGAACTTATTGGTGGATCCCCTCAAAACAGCACCACTGCAGTGGAAATTGGGGGTCTTTGTTTTCAGTTTTGAGAGAACAGAAAATAAAATGAATACCAAATAAAATGTTCTATAAAAGCAACAAGCTGCAGTGCATTTGACCTTTGTTGACCAGAGGAAAAGGTCAGCAAGACCCAGGCAATGTTTCTACTTAATCTGAAAGGAAGACAGTAAAAACGGCACCTTTTGCGTTCCCTAGGATGCCGATATTCACTTGCGCGAGTGAAAATTAATTTTACATGGAATATCTTTTCATCCATTCAATACAGAAAGAAGGAAATTAAGTGAGATGTTTGGCTGGTCTTTGAAAGATTATGAAATGTGACAAGAGACTTGTTTTCACACAGTTAAAATATATATTTTGCTTCAATCAGTGGGTTTATTTCTTTAAGCTTAAGCAGCATGTCAGTGAGACACTCAGCAGTGATTTCACTGCTGAAGAATTAGCCAATGTACTGTATGATCCCTTGAAAAATCACTGAGCTTAGCCTTAAATTTTCCCATTATGCTCAGATCCTTTAGAAACGTCACTTAAAACAGCTTCAGGAAAGATTAACATGGCACTAGGTGTGGAGGAAATAGAAGATGACACTAGTGTTTCTCCGGAATGAGCACGCTTGGACTACTCTTAAAAAAAAAAAGCCTTTCTTTACAGCATTTCTTTCAAGACTCCCTTAATACTTGGCCAAGTGTGTGACTAAGAGAAAACCCAGGCTTTTATCATAAACTTTAATTTGAAAAAGTGGGTCAGACTGTGCATTATGTGCACAGAGCTGCTGAAGAAGTTCTATGCCTGTGTGAGATCTGTGCTCTGAAATCTCAGTGAAAAAACCTGCTCTTAGTATTCTTTTAATGGACAGCCAACGAGTCTGTAGGGCAGCCTGGGAACTAACCCCGCCTCCAAAAGAGATGTTACTCACTCTGGGCACTACCTGTAGTTCTTCAAAGATGTGCTCCTCATAGGGGCTCCACTTCGGGTGCATGTGCACCCCATGTGCCTTTAATTGGAAATTTTTATTATCAATGTCCGTTCAGCCCACACGTGAGGATATCAGCAGCATGTGTGATACCCTCGCACATGCTGCTGATAGCCTCACGCCTTGCACTGAGGCTATATCAGGTTGCATGGGCAAACTGCCCCTCAGTTCCTTTTTCACCACTGAGCCTCAGAAGGAAACTCCAAAGCAGGGGAAGGAAGGTGGGTAATGGAGCAGTATTTCCATAACAAGGAGGGAACTTCAGACTCGTGTCCAGCACAGAGGAAAAAAGTGCATTGCCAGCTGTTGCATCGGCACTAGAGGCATTGACAAAGGCATATGTACTGAAGACCTTGTAGCAGCTCTTCAGCTTTCACATACTGGACATTTTTAAGTAGAGCCATAGATGTATGTAGATTGTCATCAAGCAAATGGCGAGAACCCTTCAATAGTGTTATGAAAAGCTCTTAAGGCATCCAAATGAACCTTCAGAGAAATAAGTAATAGTCCTGTTTCCTTTAGCTATAGCATATATTCCAGAACAACCAGACGTAAGGCAAATTTGCGGGTAGCATTTTGGAATTCACCACAGTGACTAAACGTTCTCCATTTTTGAAGGTAAGTATTTCTGGATCTTTCCTATTTTTTAAATAGTATCTGTTGTAACTCTGCAGAACAGACTGACTCTAACCCTGCACATCATTGAGGAGCCATGCCTTTAGGTGGAGAATGCTCACATTGGGAACACAGCAGACCACTGGCATCCTGGGAGAGGAGCTGAAGAGGGATTAGAAGATATATCGCTGGACAAAGAGCAAGGGGAAACCATGCCTACCTTGACCATGTTGGGGCTATTAGGATAACTCTTTTGTTCACCACTTTGAAAATCAGAGGCATCGCGGGAACCACATAAAACAGCTTCATCCAAGTGAGGAGGAAGTCCCCCCCCCCAAGGAATTGAGACCTAACTCCCCCCAATTAACAGAATACACCTCTACCCCGAAATAACGCTGTCCTCGGGAGCCAAAAAATCTTACCGTGTTATAGGTGAAACCGCGTTATATCGAACTTGCTTTGATCCGCCGGAGTGCGCAGCCCCGCCCCCCTGGAGTGCTGCTTTACCGCGTTATATCTGAATTCGTGTATCGGGTCGTGTTACATCGGGGTAGAGGTGTAGTTGGCATTTTTTGTTCGTAGCGGTGGTGAAGAGATCAACTTCTGAAAATCCCCAAGTCTGAACTACACCAGCAATAACTTGGGAATCCAACTCCCCTTTCTAGTCTTGGGAAAAAACACCTGCTAAGAGTGTTGACTGTGATATTTTGCCTGCCTGGGAAATAGGTTGCTGAAATTCTTATGGTATGTTTTATGCTCCAATTCCATAACCTTCATGCTTTGGTGCAGAGGGAAGGAGATCTCACTTCTCCCCGCCAATTGATATAGAATATGCAAGCAGCATTGTCTGTCATGACTTTGGTAGACCTGTCTGAGGAGAGGCAGAAAATGAAGGGAGACATTTCTGACCGCTCTGACTCTAACAGGTTGATATGGAGGGCTGTTTCTTGGGGTGACCATCTGGGGGTGGTATCAGAGTGAACATGTATTGTTAGAGCATTGAGGTGCACCCCCCATTCTGACAGAGATGCATCCGTGGTTATGGTTAATGAACCTTCCACCAGTCCAGGTAGCAATTAACCTATTGAGGAACTGACACTGGTTTGGCAAGAAAGCTGATCTGAGCCACCCCTAGAAACAGCGAAGGCATAATCTTGCATGTTCAGTCACAAAAATGCAAGCTGCTATGTGATCTAGAACTTTGTAGGGTTGCCAACCCTCCCAGTTTGGCCAGGAGTCTCCTGAAATAATCTCAATCTCCCGGAGGATACTGAAGCCAATCCGGGAGATTTTAGGCCGCTAAAAGTCTGGCGGCACAGTGGGGCTAAGGCAGGCTCCCTATTTGCTCTGGCTCCGCGCTGTTCCCAGAAACGGCCAGCATGTCCCTGCGGCCACTAGGCAAAGGTGCGGCCAGGGGGTCTCCGTGCGCTGCCCCCGACTCTGCTGCTTCCATCAGCCGGGAACGGGGAACCGTGGCCAATGGGAGCTGTGGGGGCAGTGCCAGGAGGCAGGAGCAGCACACAGAGCTGCCTGGCTGCCCCTGAGCCTAGAGCCACTGCCGGACATGCCGCCACTTCCGAGAGCCATCCAAGGTAAGCACCGCCAGGCCAGAGCCTGCACTCCTCACCCCTTCCTGCACCACAACCTCCTGCCCTGAGCGCCCTCTTGCACCCAAACTCCCTCCCAGAGCCTGCACCCCAACCCCCTCCCATACCCAACTCCCTGCACCCCAACCCCCTGCCCCAGCCCTGAGCCCCCTCCTGAGCCCACACCCCTGCCCCAGCCCTGAGCCCCCTCACAATCCCAAACTCCCTCCTGGAGCCTGCACCCCAATTCCCTGCCCTAGACTCAGCCCGGAGCCCCCACCCACACCCCCTCCTGCACCTCAACTCCCTGCCCCAGCCTGGTGAAAGTGAGTGAGGGTGAGGGAGAGCGAGTGATGGAGGGGGGCGGCAGGGCCTTGGGGAAGGGTCGGGCCAGGGCAAGGGTGTTTGGGTTTGTGCGATTAGACAGTTGGCAACCCTACCTAGAAATTGAAGACGGTTTCTGACTGAAGTCTGGGGGCTCCCTTGAATAATTCTAACACAGTATGACAGCGTCATGATGTCCATGGGAAGGAAGGTCCTGGATGCCAAGGATGCAAAGGGGCCTAGAGTTCCCTCGGGACTGATGGGGAGGTCTCCTGACCTGTCTCCAAAGTGAGGCAAAGAGAGCACTCCATCATTAATAGTCACAGCTTGATTTCCTGGTCCTTCCATGGCTTGGATTTGAGGGCTAAACAAGACGTTACACTTAAGTGGGACATGTGACTCTCCCAGGCAACAAACACACGTAAAGTGTCCGTTGCTGACCGGGATAGCCTCTTTACACACAAGGCAACATTTAAACCCCGGTGAACCGGGCATGCCCTATGCAGGGAGGCTTTCCCCAGAGGAAATGACAGTCTTTCAGTAACCACTAACTAACTACTGCTACTTACTAACAAACTAAGTAAAAAGAACTCAGCAAGCAGCCGAGGCAAGCCCGATGCGGATGCACTAAGCGTTGTCTCAGGCCGACGCAGGAACTGAGGGCAGTTCGCTTGCACAGCCTGATATAGCCTCAGGGTGAGACACGCAGGTATTAGCAGCATGTGCTTGGGCCAAATGGACACTGCTAATGAAAATCTCCAATCAAAGGTGCGTGGGGCACATCACATCTGACATGGACCATCCATAAGGACACTACTTGAAGAACGGCTAGATATTTATCTGAATTAACAGCCAGTGAAACGTGTCAAATTACTGTTTGTTTCAGCGAGCAGAACTATTTACATTGGGTCAAAGCCTGCACATAGGCACACCAATGTCACTGATAGTGTGGCAGTCATCAGTAGAGCCCCAATCCAGCAACTAACTTTAAGTTAAGCACGTGTTTAAGTGCTTTGTTGGACTGGGGTCTAAAAAGCAGAATATGGCACACAACTAGCGTAACTGAGCTATATTGGCTACATAACATGATTAGTAGTTGTGCTATAACATGGTAGCAATATAGTCAATTACTATGTATTGATTTCAACCGTTAACATGTAGTGGTCACATTAGGCAATAACGCATATTCTTTTGAGTTACGTTTCTTAGCTAAATTGTAATTCCCTTGGAAATAATTGTAATCACAATACACGGTACTCTTTTTTTTTTTAAATGCATGCACCGTTTGTGGAGTCGCTGTTACTGCACACACGTCACATATCTCAGCATGCAAATGGTCAGTTATGTATTCAACAGCCAAACTTTAGAGGAGAATAAATTTTTTACCACTCAGCTCAATATGTGTACCGAGTCCTTCGGGGCTTGTACTGGGATGGCTAGCCCATGCTAAAGCCTGTGCTGTCATGCGTTTGCTAGCTACTGTTACAAACAGTACAAGTAGGCTGACCAGACAGCAAGTGTGAAAAATCAGGACAGGGGGTGGAGGGTAATAGGAGCCTATATAAGAAAAAGCCCCAAATATCAGGATTGTCCCTATAAAATCGGGACATCTGGTCACCCTAAGTACAAGCACACCTTAATTTGCAGTGTAGCCATACCCTCAGCGGCACACTTTGAATCTTAGATGTCTTATAGTATGGCTTTGTGGTTAAAGCATGAGCCTGAACCTCAGGTTTCTATTCCTGGCTCTACACAGACTTGCTGAATAATTTGGGGCAATTTACTTATCCTGTTCTTCTTACCTCAGTTTCCACATCAGGAAAATGGGGAAAATAATTCTTAACCACATCACACATTCATTAATGTTTGTATAGTACTTTAAGCCAATTAGACAGAAGGTTCCTAGAAGCACAAAGCATGATGACGACGAGTCATTAGGACCATTCCTTACCTAATGTGATTAATAATAAGATTTGTAGGTGGTATGAAAAAATCATCCACATCTTCAAATGGCGTGCGGATGATATGCTGATTTTCCCCTGCACTTGCCTCTGATATTACCTACAATAAATAAACAAAATATTGAGCATAGGGAAAACAAGAAGGAAGAGAGAAGTAAATACAGGTTACATAACTGCGTTACACCAAAAAGATATTTGCCTTGCCTTGAATCCAGGAGATTCAAATTGATTCATACTTTCAAAATAGCGTTTGGAGTAGCTGCCTTGAAAAATAGTGTTAATAAAATGGCATTTGAAGATTGACATTTGTAAGGTAAGTGTACAACTCTCTCTGCTTTCATAAGATGATGTTCATAGCAGTAGACAAAGCAATCATGCACAAGTTGAAATAGTGTAACAACACTAAACCTACAATAATGTATTCCAAACTGTTTAAAGTAAACATTTATTTCATATGTATTAAACTCACTTAAATGCACAATGATAATTCACTGGCTTGAATGATCTAACGCTAACTCACAGCAATTAATTATCACTTTGAAGGAGCAGAAACGTTCACCCATCTAGTGCACCATGTAAAATACATGGAAGAGCAGAGAAAGGCACTCTCTCGAAATGCTGTCCTTCAGAACAAAGCAAACCTTCTGCTGCCATGGAAACTCTGATTTATCATCTCCCTTATAACCCCAGAAAAATGAGGAGGTAGAAATTTTCAATAATTAAAATATTAAATACAGAAATTGTTTACTGGGACTGTTTTGGTTCAAGAAGATTTAGGTCAATTCATTAGAAATTTTTGCTAATGTGACATGCTAACAGGAGTTCTTTTGAATTTATGGCTAAATAATTAATTACAGGATGTGCTACAATCTTAAAAGGTTTAGTTCAAACATTCTGGTCATGCCATTTCGATTTCTTCCAATTAAATTGTTTGAGAAAAATGCCAATTTTTGCAGAGTGCTTTCATGAAGCCAGAAACAGTATTGTACATTTGCTTTCCCATAAACTAGTAACAACAAAACAATAGCAGCCCCTTAATAGACTGCATAGTTTTGTTTGATAAACCCTTGATTTCTGAAGAGGGAGAAAATTAAGGTCAAGCTGTACAGCTGAATTTCTTTCTTTCTTTTTTTTTATTACAGAGCTGTGGGAAACCATTAATGTTTTTTTTTAGGGTGGGGGAGTGGGGTGGAACCTCATCAAATTTGACACTGCAAACTTTTTTTTTTGGGGGGGGGAGAGGGAGAGATCAGAAAAACAAAAGGTAGACTGCTGCTGATGTTAATCTAATGCTATCCATGTGTATCTGCACTTCACAAGATAACAGAAAGGACCATCCGAGAACTGTAGCCCTATAACAAGTTTCCAGCTGTGCAGTTGGTGTTGTCGTGTTAATAATCACAAGTCTGTGCCATCTTTCCTTTAATTACAGAAACCTCTCACAGCTGGATGGAAGCTATTAAGTTGGAATGGGTAAAGGGACTCCATTTTGTCTTCCTGTATCTTGTCCAGGAACCTATGCTAGTCATCAGGGAAGTTAGCGGAGATTGCTTCAGAAACTTCTGTTTAGTTGCTGCTGTTCTGTTGCCAGAGGTTACAACAGTGTGGGATTCCTGAGTTATTTAGCAGGGCCCAGGTGGTTTGTAAAATATGTATGGCAATACGGCACCTGCTGTATAATACCCTGGCAACTGCTGTAAAGAAGGTGATCATTTATGGGCAAACGTCTGGCCTGAATAGTTTAACTGGGCACTTAGCTGCTGTGCAGGGCAGCAAGGAGAAGATCCTCCCATTCTCAAGCGCCAACATAAGGGCTGGAGTAGACTCAAGATATTTGGGTGCCTAACTGCCTCTTCAGGCATCTAATGCCAACATTTGGTGCCACTGACATTTTCAGAACCACTGTCCAGCTGCTATCTAACCCTGTAGGCATCAAAGTATCTGCTGATAGGCCCACGTCACTGCTTGGAGCCCGCACTCAAACTGAAACCCCAGAGCAATTCTCAGACTGGGCATTCCCTTATCCCTCCTAAAGCACTCAGTTGCATTAGTGTGTGCTGAGCATGCCCATGGGCGTGGACCCCACACAAAATCAGGGCCAACCAGATTGGGAATTTTTCAGCTCGCGCTTGTGTGTGTCCCTAGCACACCCAATAGCCCTGTGGTTAGGGCACTTGCCCGAGAAGGGGAAGACTCAAGTTCACATCCCTGCTCCAAATCAGGCATAACAGTCTGGATGGCCTCCTCTCTGGTTTTTCATGAGAAAAAGCTGACCTTGCTTTTAAGTGCCTAACTTCAGGAGAGGGTTTGTGGCTAAGAATATTGGCACTTCCCTCTGGCCTGTCACTCAGGTGCCTAAGGCCCAGATCAATGGGAGTCAGCTGCCTAAATACTTTTGATTGGGGTCTAAGCCCCACCCCTTTCCTCTGCATTTCAGTCCTGGCTAGGTTAGGCCACTCCCTGCTCAGCTGGCTCCCAAGAATCTCCTTCTTGGGCACCTAACTCTCCCTATGCAATGCATGGGTAGCCCAGGCAGCTAGCTCAGGGCTCAGAATTCCACTAGGTGCCTATGAGTTAGGCATTGCAACACCTAGGTACCTGTCTGTAGCTAGCCCTAGATTCACTGGGGGTGGGGGTGGGGATGGGAAGAGGGGACTAGATCACTGAGTTGGATCTCCCCTATATCACAGGCCTTAAATTTCATCCAGTTACTCCCGTACCAAACCCAACAACTTGTAAAGCATATCTATCTTCCAGAAAGGCATCTGTGATCCTTAAGCTTTCTGCTTCCCTAGGAGGAGTGGAGGTAGGAAGTCAAGCGGACGTGTGCAATAGCAGATCACCCGGTGCCTCACCACTTCCAGCCCACCCGTCTCAGTCTCTCTACAGCCAGTTGATTATTTCTCTACCCCTTTTCACGCTGGAACTGTGCCTCATGGGGATTGCACATCCCTTGCCTAGGCCTCCAGAATCCTATACTTGATCCCTTGGTGTGGCAGAAGCACAGTGGGGCCATTGCCTTGAGAGTCTCTGCAGACCAGAAGGCAAGGGCAGGATGTGCCATTCAGGACCTTTTTATTATTATTATTATTTTTATTTTGAGAGAAAAAAATCCAATTCCTAGGACACTAGGGTTCTGATTTCATGGGGGCTGTGCACACACAAAATGCTTACTGACGTTAGTTGTGGGTGCTCAGCATAGCTGAAAAATCAGGCCCTGTACTGTCGGCATAACTCGAGACAGAACAACACAGTACTATAGCAACTCATCCAACCAGGAGGCTGATATTGGCAACCTACTGCAGCCACATGGATGAATTAATTTTTATGGTGGGTATCAGATGAAAAAAATACAGTACATGTCAAAATAACAGCATGAAGCCAAATCTCTGCTCTCACACTAAACTCCAGGTCGGGTTTCCTCATTTCATGCAGCGTAACATTGTTAGTTTGTGGAAGCACTGCCTGTGAAAATCTTGGATTGTTTCTTCCGTATATCACCAATAATTTCAGAGTGAACGTAAATGGCCGGCAGGTGACCCAATCCTTCACGACTGCACAAGGACCAACGGTGAAGTGAGAACACACAGTCCACCCTCCTGCATTACAGAGGCAGCCACCTGAGGTGGTGGTGGGGGGAATGGGGAGAGAACCTTGGATCTGCCCCACCAATATGCTGGCTAGTGTAAAAACTACTGGATGTATTTTGCTGCGGGGCAAGGCCATTAACAGATTTCTATACTGTGTGAGACAGGTGGCGGAAGGAAAGCAATTGTGCCTCTCTGAGGTGCAGTTCCTTCCCGGGAGAGCAGCGCTGTATATTGCTCCTAACGCAGGTCTATGCTCAGTCTAGCCTTTAAGTATCTGGATGTTGTCGGCAATGATTTATAAACGGGAAAGCTTGAGTTTCATAGATCCAGAAGGTTCTAGACCATGGGTATCAGAAAATAGCAATTACACAGTGTGGATGGGCCAAACTTGGGTCTTGTATTAGCTTGGTAAAATGATGTGTAGGGCTCTGGTTAAACCGTGATCAACGTGGAGTAACTAGATGGAGGTTCATAGACTTATTCCACATTTGCACTAAGGTGTCTAAAGAAGAATTTGTCCTAGAGGCTATGCGTGTGCTTCTTTATTCTTGAGAGCTGCTTTGGAAACCAGCCTGACCTTTTTATTCAGAAAGAGGGATTTGAAACTGAGTTTGCAGAATACTTTCAATTATCACTCCTTTTTTTTACTTCTCGATACAAAAGTCTCAGAAGCAGTGAACAACCTCTTTCTCTGCTAAAGGTTTATATTTCATTGAGAGGAGAAGAAGAATACTAGTGTATTGTGCACCATAGTTGGTCCACGAAAGAGACTCAAGATTTGGGGACAGAACTGAAATAAAATCAGCAGAATTCAAAGAGAATAAGCAGCATCTTAATGGACCAGCAGAAAACTTAGCCCCACACTGTATAAAGCTGAGTAGCTAACTGTTTTTAATATACTATCTAGCCTCCCTTGATGTTAAAAAGGAGAAACAGGCTTGTTCGGATGCAGGCACGTGATTGGCCAAAGAGTTCTGAAGGAACTATAAAACTACAGTACAGTGTATTTGTATATATAGTGCCTTTTCCACACAATACCACATAATGCTTTGCATTCTTATCTCGTCCTCCTTTACAGTGGAGAGGCATGCATCCTGTGCTGGTGCAGTGCTAAGTGCAGAGCTAACTCTGCACCTCTTCTAGGGCTGGTTTGGCACAGATCAGAGCTGTCTGAGGGCCGTCCAGCCCAGATAAAATGATCCCTATGGCCTGGGATCAAAGGGAATACCCAGGGTGTAGGAATGTCGGTGGCACTGTTGTCCTCCCCAAACTTGCTCCCTGCTCCAAGGGATCCTGCTATATGGGTCATGAGCTGGCTGAGTTGGTTCTGTGCCTGCTGTCGAGACCACCTAGACCAAAGGGGGTCCTTTACAGCTGCCTTACAACCACTTTGTGCCAGCGCTGTTTTAAAGGAGGCTCTGAACAGGTAGCAAAAATCACTATGAGCTTTGTTTGTTTGTATTTTTCTCAGTTACCCCAGCTCTTTCTGCATGCATTTGTGGCATTTGGCTCTGTCATCAGTCTTAAAAACAAAATGGAGAATGGTAACAACACACTCCCACTACTGGTTTACAACATATTTTCTGCTTTGTGCCTGACAGTGGCTCAAAAACAGATTAAACTGTAAGAGAGGTTTGGGAGAAATAATGCACAATGACAATGCAAAAATTCAAGACAGAAAGTGTTATCAGTAGCCAATGGTGCTGCTAAAAGAAAGAGAGGGTAAAATGTTAACTTTACACAACACTTACCTGCAGTGTTGGATGGGACTTCCGCATGTTCCCCCAGCTAAGGACCCAGACTTGGTCATGTGATTTATCATAATGTAATTTGGCTGGTAGGGGGTCAACATCCACAGACTTCAAAGAAACAAATATTTGTATTCATATTTAGTCAAGTGAAGGTGGCTTACAAACATTATTTATGTTAACATTTGTTTACAAAGATAACTGTGAACGTTCCTGTGGAATCCATTATCCACCTGCTACCCCCTCCTCCCCCCACTTTAGGGAGATGGAGGCACAGAGTTGTGTAATTAGCTGAAAAAAAAAATCACACTGTGAGTCAGTGACAGAGCCAGAAATAGAAATTAGGTAGCCCGATTCCAGTCCCCTGATCTGGCTAAGCAGACAACACTCCATCTCACACCACAACTTCCATCTACAGGGGCCAATTTCTGCTAGCGTTACACCTGGGCAATCTGGTTATAACTGAGGTCACAAACTGACCCAGTAAGTGTAGGTGAGAAATACTTTCTAGGTAGCTGCAAACGTGACTGCAGATGTCTTCCTAGGACTATGAGAATCATGCCATCAAGCCGTTTTTTTGAGAATGAGGTTATAGCATGGCAAATGACGCAGTATACCCCAATGAGTGAAAATAGTATATCTGTCCAACACATGAGCTAGGTCACAGGTTCACTGGGTAGGGACCTAATTCTTTAGCATATCAAAGCCTCTTTGCCTTCCTGAATAAATAGCTCGCCTGGTAAGTACCTGCATGACTTTCTGTGTCTGGATATCAATGATCATTAGTCTGTTCTGCTTGGGCTGTGTCACATAAATATATTTGTCTCTGACATTGACAGCTGAAGCCCAGAGGCAGGACTGCACAGGTCCACCTTCAACTTTAGGACAGATCTCTTCCTGAAAGAGAAAATAATAGGTTTAATTTGTGCAAGTTAGGGGCCATGCTCTAAGCAGCCTGCACTTTAGCCTGGAATCATAGAACAAAAAAATCTGTGGGGACTATCGTATGCCTAAATTATTTCCCCCCTCCCACTTTTTACCTGGAAAACATGAATAATTATTGTATTAGGTAGCACACTGTAGTCTGGATCTATCCCAGTGAGATTAAGCAACTGGAGCTTGCTGCAAGCTCCCATTTATATTCAAATAACCACAATGCTGCATAGAACAGAATCTTTTGAAGCATCCCCTGGTACAAGAGGACTTATAGTGCTGTCAACATTTATTAGCAATATAAATCTCATTTTGGGTTTAAAACACAGTGATTTATGTTTTAATGAAATTATTGCACTGCATTGTTCCTATAGTCTTCATTCTCAGTTTTAGGAAATCTTGCTCTCAGGTCCTTGTGCATTTAGAGTAGCAGCAGAAGAGTCCAATAGTCTCCTTAACTCCAACATGGAAACATCTTCATAAAAGTATCATATAGTGTGGGCTCGATCTTGTTGACTTTATTCACATCTGGGTTGTTTGTTGAAGCCTATGGGACTACACATCATTAGAGCCAGCAGGATTTGTCCTTTGCTATATTTTCTGTAATGCTGCTTCTCCTTTTTGGTGATAGCTTTCTCTTCATAGGCTTTCTTTCCCATCTTGTACATTATGATTGCTGACCGGTAAGTTATTCTAACAGTAATGGTACTTTTCAATTGGTATCTTTCAGGGTGCCTAACAAAGTACAATATCGTTTAGTTGGGGTTCTAAAGCTTGGAGGGCCAAATTCTTGTTGAGTTCTGCGCTACTTTGTGGGTGCACAAAGGCTGGAAATCAGCTAGATCTAGCCTGCTGAGAAGTCCTTTGGTTTGGTGAACAGAGCTTGTGCATCTTGGTCCTGGCATAGAAGTAGGTTGGAGATGGAGATGGAGTGCATCGGGCCTTGGCTATCCTCGGGTGGCATGTGGTCCTTTGTGCACAGAGCTTTGAGAGTGAACCAGAAGGCAGAGCAAACACCACGATTTATTCTGTTTTTAAAATATCTCACAACTTTTAGGCCACTCTCATGATCTTTGAGCGCTGACTCATGATTTTCATACGTGGGGGCTGGCAATCTTCAGTAGCAAACATGCAGCTTGAGACTCAGGAAGCTACAAATCTCCATGACAAACTCTTCCTTCCCCATTGCTCCCACTTTTGCATCAAATGGAAACTTGGCACAGCAGAAAATCGGGGTCCAAGTGAACTGTCCAAGGTCCCTGTGACGTTGCACCCCATAATGCTTTATGGAAATATGCTTATGAATGTATATATGACATAACTGGAATATGTTTTATGCTACATATGCCATGTAACATATCTCCTTAAAGGTTATGATTTACTAAAAAAGTACATCCTATTTGTATGCATGTATCATTTTTGTATTCAAAGTTATGAATATTGGCTGTGTACTT